GCACTCTTAAATTCTGTTACGTCCACTTCTTTCATAGCGGTTTGCACTTAAAGGTCCCTTTATAATATAATACTAATTTATAGTAATTATACTAACTATATATTATATATATTAACTTATAATAAAGTTCTATCTAATCTAATCTTTATTATTATAAGTAAATGAAAGTCTAACATGTCCTCAGAATGTGTCATTCCAATTTTCAACTCAAAACACTGCTCCTGGTTTTAGTCCTGTTCCAAATGATCTGTTTCAGTGTTTGTAGCTTTAAATGCAGCTCATCTGCTGCTGTCAATGCCCTGTTCAGGAAGAAGATTCTCTCTGCATCCGTGATTGACAGTTGTCCACAAACCAGATGGCATAGACGCAAATCAGTGTTGTAAAACCAGGACTTTTTAATTGCTTCTACATTTCTCTATGAACAATAAATTTACATGGAAAAAAATCACTGAATTCTCAACACAGCTGTCGTTTTAAACTCATGTGTTTAGTGAGTTGGTCAGATGATGCAGTGGTTATAAAAACAGTATTTTAGTGGTGCAGAAGTGCAGCTTGGAAAATGGTGGTTAACATGTCATTTTAATGGGCTGCATCTCAGTGACTATTTCATGCTTCTTTTGTTGTCTAACAGCAAAAACAGAAAAATGTGTAAATGAGAACAACTTTTAGAAATGTGTTTGTATTAAAAATGCAGTATGTATGAGCAAGTACAGAGAGCAAGAGAAAAGTAAGACACAGAAGTAACAGAGGAGTAAACAGACATGAACATATCTGATTTTACATTGCACTGAAGCACAACTGATTGTCCCTCAGCTTTACCGTCTCCAGATACCTCTGACCTACAGGCATACAATCAAAGCTAATAGTAACATGCCAACACGAAGGATTTTTCTAATGTGGTGACATTTCCAACAATATTAAAAATATTCCACTGGGTCTTCAGTTCCTCAGTTACTGGGAGTGCATGAAGACTCATGTGTTCACTCCTGCGACTGACAGCAGAACATTTGATGTGTCTTGTTCTTGGCTGCAGAAACAGCTCTAGAAAGTAAATAAACCTGGTTGACTGTGAGGAAGCTGCTCAGTAATACAAAAGTTTGAGGTAGACGGCTTTTGATTAATCAGCTGGAAAGTAGCAGCTCAGCAAAATTCGTACCGGCTTGTAAAGCTGAAAGGCTTCATGTCTTAATAGCTTTCACTTCACGCCTCCAAGTTTATAACAATCACAAAACTAAATCGTCACCATGTGGGATCTTTAAGTACGCCTAATTTTGTTATTGTATGTATTGTGAAAGTAGTTTGCCATTTTGCATATTTACTTTCTTGAAATGAGTTAGTTATTTTACAATTCTACACTTTCATTTAGCAGACGCTTTTATCCAAAGCGACGTACATCTGAGAGTAGACACAACACAAGCAAGGATCTAGTCAGGTGAAAACAATCTAGATAAGTGCCATAGAACAAGTTCAAGTGTGATATGGTCTTGATGCCAATAGCAGGCTGTGAAGGAGGTAATAAGATTTTATTTTTGTTTGTTTGTTTTCAGTCTGTCAAGTACAAAGACGTTCAGTGAAGACCTAGGTATTTAGTCTTTTCTTAAAGACTGAAAGGGAGTCAGCAGATTGAAAAGATTTTTCTAATTTTTATATTTATATGGCACATTTAACACACCAGACGTTGACTTCAACTGTAGATGAGGTACGAGGATCAACACCACTCTCATGTCTGTGTGTTAAGTATGAAGCTAAAGCCAGCAGCTTTTTTTAGATTAGCATATCTTAACTCAGCATAAAATTTGGACTCAGGTGGAAAGGACGAGCCTGGCTGTGACCCAAATGCTGCTCCTTACCTAACACTGGTCCCAGCCAGTAAACAAAGCAGTACTCCAGGTAGGTGTGGCCGCTGCAGGGGAACTGGATGGAGAAGGCCAGGACAGGGTTAAAAACTGCTCCTGAAATACTTCCACCTGCACGCAAGGACAGAAACAGCACAGAGTCAATTCTGAATCATAAACACCATCAACACGGCTGATCGTCTTCAGCTGAAGAGGAAATACTGTAACACAGACACATTCCTGCTCTTCAACCCGATTCTAAACTGAGTGTAACTGTAAAACCACATTCTCTACTGAGGGACATGAAGACACAACATGTAAGGATAACTTCTGGAAGGATAGTGTTAATTTCTCTAATACAGTTTTATTTTTATATTTGTTTTCCTTAACATTTATCTACAAGTATTTGCTAATTTAGGATGTGTCAAAGTTGGACACTTTGTTGGAACTGGAACTGCTTGTCATCTAAAAAAGAAATCAATCATTAACTAATCTGATCATTCATAGATCACTAAAGCAAAAAGGCCATAAGTTCCAATTCCTCAAATGTGATAACTTACTGCTGCCATTTATCTTATACAAAAGGGTAATTTAATGTCTGTAAGTAATGGGCTGTTTTTAAAAGTTGTAGAAACTAACAAAAACTTACATTAAACTTAATATTATGAAAATAGAACTAGTTGTAGCTCCAAAATTTGTGTAAAATACAAATTTGGTAAAACTCACTAGTTAAATTACAGTTATTACAGGTTTTTTGTTGTTGTTGTTGTTGTTATTTTTTTAAATATTTTTTTTTAAGGAAAATAGAAAGTACTTAATATTTTGGTAAATGCACTAATTTCGCAGTAATACAACTTTCGACAGCAGAATATTTCTTTTCTTTTGATACTTTGGGCTCTTACTATTTTCTGACATTTTATAGACAAATTATTGAAAGAATAATCAGAAAAATAAATCATTATAAAAATAATCACTGGTTGTAGCTCAAAACAAAACTTTAGTCAGTGGTAAGTTTAGTCAAACTTACCACCTAATTTACAGATGAAGTTTGTTTAAAATGTTTTTTTTGTTGTTGTTGTTTTTTACTTTGAAGAATGATCTTTAATAAAAATGTAAAATGCTTCTTAATTTATTAAATATACTACAAGCAAAGTCAGTAAAACAACTTTCTGTAGCAGAGACAATTTGGTTTTCTTGTTGTTTTTATGATTTTTGGTAACCACAACTACTTTATCCTGTGTCACATTTCAGTTTTATTACTTTGATTTCGGTGTTTAAAGCTGAAATCATTAGTTGATTAATCAACTGAGACAAGAATATATATGCAAGAATTTGATCACTGTTATTACCTTTTCAAATGTGAATATTTTTTGGTTCCATGATAGTAAACTAAATATCTTTGGGTTTACGACTTCAGGATAAACAAAACTAGAAATTTGAAGATGAGACCTTGGACATTTTTTGCTATTTTCTGACATTTTACAGCCTAACAATCGAAAGAAAAGCCCAAAATTTAATTAAATGATGAAGATACTAACTAGTTGTACCAGTTAAATTATAGATATTACAGTATTTACAGGTTTAACAAAAAAATAAATAAAAATCAAGCAGAAAGTACTTCATGTTTGAGTAATACTTTAAACTTTCTGTAGCAGAAACATGTTTTTTCATGCTTTAACCTTAACTTTATCCTGTCTCAGTTTGAACATCATTTAAAGTCTTTAAAGCACATCTTTGGGTTTAGGACTACATATGGAATAAAACTAGCAGTCTGAAGATGATACTTTGGGCTCTGGACATTTTTCAGAAATTTTTGTTATTTTATGGAACAAATAACTGGATTCATCTAGAAAAAAATGTGCAAAATTATTTAAAAAAATAAATCAGACATTGTTTGGAGCCCTGTATGCATTAGCTGTCATTTTTGACAAGTGTTAGTTTAATTTGACATGCTGTATTCAATCAGTTTCTTCGTTTGGTTTCGTTTTGTGATCAGTGCACAGAGATGGATGATTTCTCCTTCCTGCGCTCAGGTGAGCCTCCCCCCCCCCCCCCCCCCCCCCCCAACACACCTGCGTAAACCGCTGCAGTAATGACGGCAGCGAAGAAGTGAGGCCGGAGTTTCTGGTCCAGTTTGTGGATGTGCATGGCCGTGGCTTGGACCGCAAAGCTGCACAGCAGCTCCACGGCCGCGGCCTCCAGCAATGTCCCCCCGAGCGGATCGAAGCATCTAAACCCGAACTTCTGGTGCCGGACGTGGACGTCGGACAGACCCAGCGACCACACGGAGGCGGCGAAAAACTGCGCGGCGACTGCAGCGCCGAACTGCAGGACGATGAGGACGAGCGCCGCCGCGACGCTGCTGCGGCCGCGGCAGACGCTCTCCAGAGCCCCGGTGGGGTTACACGTCGCCTCCCGAAAAGTTAGCAAGTGGATAACAGTTACGATATAGGTGATAGTGAGGCTGATCGGCAGCTCCAGCCGGGTCGTCTCGCCCAGCAGTTTGAGTTCGTGTGTGCAGCAGCAGAGCTGGAAGGTGGACGCCGCTTCCAGCAGGTAAATCCAATAAGCTGTGGGGCAAAGACGCGCGGCTGTCCGGCGGACCGCCTCGCTGAACAGCACCGCCGCCGCCACCACCACCAAGGAAACGAAGAGGTCAGGCATTTAACCGGCCGTCCAGACACACACCGACGGTACAAACTGTTCCTCGTGACGGAGGCAACTTTCAAACAAGCTGCTTATCTGCCCGGTTGCCAAAGTCCAGTTGATCCACGTTGCCGCAGCTGCGTCAAACCGCGCAGCGTGAAACAGGAAAAAGGGCGGCGAACCTTCACAATGAGAGCACAGGCACGAATGATTCAAAGTCACAGAAGGAGGGACTGGAACATTTGGTTGGTCTTAATTAAAATAAAATATAGATAAACTAAGAAAATGTAAGTCGTCAAAATATCTTAAACAAAAAATATCTAGCATATATATATTAACTGTCAGTGCTGCAAATATACAGTCGTCCTCCAATATATTCAAACCCTTCCATTAAAGAAAAGGCAAAATTCACAATTGTCACTCAAATAACTAGAAACTGAAAAAAGCAGTAATACATAAAAATCTGTTAAATTGTAATTTAGTGAAATGAGACATTGCTTTTGAATTGTGGTTTTTCAACCACAATAGTTTTTTTTAAATGATTCTTTTCAGAAAAATTAAAAAAACAAAACTGTCCTGGACAAATTAGAGCACTTTGCTGATTAGCAGTTGAGCAGTGGACCAAAACACCCGTAAACAGGTGCAGACGTCTGATTGAGAGTTACAGAAAACACTTGATTGCAGTGATTGCCTCAAAGGGTTGTTCAACAAAATATTCGTTCACGGGTCCCATCGTGCTTGTTTGCTTGTGTTTTTTTCCCCCCTAATATTTCTGTTGTACCACAATTCAAAAGCAATGTCATGATGTTCATTAATTTTTTATTTATTTCTGCTTTTGTCAATTTCAACTTATTTCAGTGACAGCTGGTTTTTTTCCTTCTTTAGTGTGAGGGTATGAATAAAGTTGGGTACTTCAAAAAATTCTCTGCCTCACCAGAAAAATGTCACAGGAGACAGACTGTTCTTAAATTATTTTTTCATGTTGTGACAGCACCAGTGTGTTTTCAGGCAACAACTTTGTTATTTTTGCATTTTTTGTCCCCATTAGGCAGAGCCACACTGACAGTTTCACCCCATTTCCAGTCTTGATGCTAAGCAAAGCTCCCTTGTCATGGCTGTGGTTTCCTGTCTGTATACCTGAATGCTGCTTTCCCTGTGTCTTTTAAGGTTCTTACCTTAAAGCAAGTTGCAACATGTTGGTAACCAGATTTTATTCTGGAAGTTGAAACAAGAAACGGAGGTAAATATTCTGACTTGATTGTTTGTGAGCAGAGCTCAGAGCCTGGGAGTGACTGGCTGAGAGGCTCAGTCCAGGGCGAGGAAATTCCTGCTGTTGCAGTTTGACAGCTTTTCTAAGAAGCAGGACCAGCAGGAGGCATGACATGCTCATAGTCAGGATTTGGTTGGAGGAACTGAAGGAACTTTTACATGATCCTTCAATTTCACAAAATGCTGGAGGACAATGATCCAACGCACACAAATGAATCAATCACTAAATTTTTATGGCCATGCGGGAATCATGTGTTTCATTGAATTTTTTTAATTTAAAATAAATTTAATTGAATTTCCCTTCTGGGATAAATAAAGTATTTTTCATTTCATTTCATTGACCTGATTGAAGGCAAAACTGTCAAGAGGTGAAGCTGTCTGCTGTGCAGAGCAGGATGAGTGTAATCAGGGACAGACTGTGTTGTCTCTTTTTGGCTTTACCATCAGTAAAACACCTATTATAGATTAGAGATTTAGTCAAAAACTGCTGTTTCAGTGTGAAATAATCTCTTTTTGTTGATTTATTTAGATAATATTATTCACAAAAAGCACAAGTCCCACAGTGCTCATCTTATGCAGATTTAAACATTCTTGAATTGAAACTGCAAGTCTCAGCTTTAACATAACAGTCTGTCTTTTATTATAATTCTAGTCTGTTGGAATCAATCTGTCGCTTTATTATCTCTGCATTCATTCATCCTTTGGCTTGAAAACTTTCTTTCTTTCTCCCATAAAGAATGTAGTTGTTCTACATAACATCAAAGCACAACCTGCAATCCAGTTATCGCTTGGTTGATCCACTGCTTTGGTCCAGACTGGAATATTCCAACTGTTGGATTTATTAACATGGAATTGGGTAATACAGTCATGGTGCCAGGAGGATGATGATTTTCTTATCAGCTAATTAGCAAATATTAGTGTGCCAACAAGCTAAATCAAGACAATGAACAGGGTATTACTGTTGCCTGCAAACATCAGCGTCTTAACACCGTTATTGTGAGCATGTTAGCAAGCTTCCTCCTTTTTCCTCCAAATGTAATGATGGCCATTATGGCTAAATAGTTCAATTTCAGTTTCGTCAGAGCATAGGACATGTCTCCAGAAATGAAGGTCTTTGTCTCTGTGTGCGTTTGCAAACTGTAATCTGGCTTTTTTATGTTCCTTTTGGAGTAATATCTACTTCCTCTCTGAGTAGCCTTTCAGCCCATGTCGGTACAGGACTAGTTTCACTGTGGAGAATGACACTGTCTTACCAGCTTAAGCAGCATCTTCACAAAGTCTTCTGCTTTTGTTCTGGGGTTGATAGGCACATTTCACACCAAAACAGTTCATCTCTGGGACACAGAACCTGTCTCCTTCCTGAGCGGTATGATGGCTGGATCATTCCCATGGTGTTTATAGTTGTGTATAATTGTTTGAACAGATGAATGTGGAACCTTCAGGCATCTGGAAATTGTACCCAAGGATGAACCAGACTTGTGGAGGTTCACAGTTCTCCTCCTGATATCTTGACTGAGTTCTTTAGATGTTCCCATGTTGTCACAAAAGGAAGAAGAGTGTTTGAGGTGTGCCTTAAAATACATCCACAGGTGTGCCTCCAATTAACTCAAATGTTGTCAGTTAACCTATCAAAATCTTCCAAAGCCATGACATCATCATCTGGGCTTTCCCAAATAGTTTGAAGGCATAGTAATCTTACTGCACGTAAGTTTCTGACTTTTTGAAGAAAGTAGTAGAAAATTCTCTAAAAAATTCTCTCATTATTCTGGCATTTACCAAATAGAGGAAAAAATGGTCATCCTCACTGACCTAAAACAGGAAAAGTTTAGTCAGACAGTGAGAAAAAAAGGTTATGTGTCTTATTATACAGTGTATGTAAACTTCTGGTTTCAACTGTATGTTATTTGCTGCAGTCAGTCTGACTCGGTATGTCCTGTTTATGCAGTATTGTTAATATTTGCAGGCAACTGCAAACAAATCTGTGGGAGTCTGCCCAGTCAGAAATAATAGGAAGTGTCAACATGTGGCTAAGTAAGTAGAAAACTAGAAGGCACAGATATTTTTTCTGTCTGGATTTTGTGACAAATTCTGAACCACAACTAATTGATCAGTTTGCTTACTGTTAGTTCCTCTGGCTTTAATGTATACAAAGCACACAGAGTGCAGCTGTTTGAGACAAAACTAAAGCAAAAATAAGAGGAGGGATCTATAATCTGGTGAAAACACACAACCTCCAGCTGTGCTCAGCTCCTGAACCAGGATGTCCTCATTAAATACTGCAGGTATGTTTTGAAATGTTTTTTATCCACAATTCAGCTTCACACATTTTGATACTGAAGCTTAAATTTAAAATAACGTTAACAAAAAAAATGTCCATAAAACGAGCACTCTCTCTCTCGGGTGGATCATCCATCTGAATTTTACTGAACTGTATTGACCTGCTTTTAGTTTTTATTTGTATTTTATTCTTATAAATTCTTACTATTGTCTGTATTTATTATGAATAGCTGCTGCTGTCTGTGTTTCTGTGACCTCTAATGCTTGCCTGCTCACCACAGTTCCTTTAGAGTGACATAATAATGATGGAGTGTAAAACCAGCCTGGACTCACCTGCTGGTTGCAGGGTGCTTCATCCGTGTTTCAACAGGTGGAAGTGGCTGATACTGAGGAGCAGACCATCGGCAAGACTCTTTGTAAAGTTCCAAAGCATTCACAATATACTCAATTCTGCTCTGATTTCAAAATAAAGCTTTAAAGGTTGTCTTACTGTCAAGCTTATCAAATTGAATTGTGTGTTCACGTGGCACTGTTGTCAACAGATTTAAGAAATACTGACACATTTCTTTTTGCTTCTTCTAAAATTTCCTCTGGGCTTTCTTTCAGTCTGTCTATATGTTTCCCCCTATATTTCCATCTTTTTTTTCTGTCTTTATCTTTCTTCTATCTTCTATCTTTCCATTTTTCTCCCCCCATCTCTTTGTCTTTTTTTGTATCTTTCCTCATCTATCAGTCTTTCTTTGCATTTTTTTGCATCTACTTCAGGTTTCTTCTTGTCTTTTAGCTCTTTTTTTTCCATTTTCTCTTTGTCTCTTTCCATCTTGCTTTCAGTGTTCTATACATGTCTTTTTGTGCTTTTGTCTCTTTCCCAATTTTTCTTACTGTTTTTTTTTTTAAATTTTCCTTTCCGTCTTTCCATCTTCTTTTTCCAATCTTTTAGTTTTCAGTGTACTCCAGTCTCTTTTCATCTTTCCTTCCTTATCTATCTATCTATCTATCTATCTATCTATCTATCTATCTATCTATCTATCTATCTTCCACATTTTTCTTTCAGTCCAGATTTCTATGTTTATTTCAGTTTTTCAGTCTCTTTCTATCTTTCGAAGTCTTTTTCCCACTGTTTTTTGTCTTTCTTTCTTTCCATCTGTCAGACTATCTTCCCATTTTTATTTCTGTCTGATAATTTTCTATATAAAGTGGAATAGAATTGCAAAGCAGTCATTTCTATCAGACGCTTTAAACACTATTTTAATTTTTTTTAAAAATCAGCTGTTCTATTTTTGAAACTAAGGCATTTTCCTACATGTACCCGTGGAAGTTATTCCGGCTGACTTGACGCCTCCATCCGAGGCCACCTGCCGGCGGAGATAACCGAGGAAGAACTGCGCACTGCAGCTGCTTGTCCGCCGGGCACCGGGAGGCAGAAACCGACCTGGAGGTAGGAGAGGTGTCGGTACGTGTTAACATTACAATAAAATAACGTAATGAAATGAGACCTGCTTCGATGCGTTTTTAGTGATGATCCGGTTACGGCTAAGCTCTGTCTAGGTCTCGGTAGGTCCCGTTCTTTGTTGCATCGAGCGTCTACCACCAGACAGCATTATGAAAATGCGTTATCTTAAAATATCCATGGTCGCTGGCCAAAGAATGCCACGGATTTCACTCGATTTGCATTTATTGCTTATAATTGAGCTCCGGACTTTAATTCGGCTCACATACAACACATGAATGCAAGTGTGAAACTGGATCTACAAAGTGAGATTTCAAATAGCTGAAAAGTTTGACTATGATGTTTGTGGGGTATTTACCGGTATAATGGCAGACTTGTAATGTTTTGTTCTGAACTGTATATGCCGATAAGCATAGCAACATGTTAGATTATTGAGTTAAAGTCAGAACGTTATATATGAAGACCTTTTGTTGCAAGGTGTGACACAACTGGCACTTTTGTTTTTCTCATATGAATGTATCACATGACTCCTTTTTTATTGTAGCTTGTAGAGTTTTTGTATAGACATGATATATTCTAAGTGCTTGTTTGTGTAACTCATGAAGCACAAATACCAGTCATATGCAGTAAAAACTCTGAATAATCTTGAAAGAAAGCAGGTTTTCCACAGTGAATTATTCTGTAAACAATATATCCTGTCTGCCTTCACTAAATTCCAGCACATAATTATAGATGTAATTCTTCAAGGAGCAATACATCTGGCTGAATGAACAAAGATCCACTTGACTTCACCTCTCATATCCTCAGAAGGCTGAAGTTATTGGCCAAAACAAACCGATGAGGTCTGAGCCAGACTGTAACTCTGCCTTTCTGGGAACTGCAGCCAAGCATCTGGGAAATTTCAGACCATGTCCTGTATAAAAGAACAAAGCAGACAGTCTGAAATAACAGAGTTTTGCTTCAGTTAAACCAAATTTAAACAGAATTTCTGCTGAGATTTTGCAACTGAGGCCATTATAACAAATCCAAGCAATGATTTGTGATGACTCACCATTTTGTAAAGTTTTGCTTTTGCAGACATGATGTTTTTTAAAAAATGTATGCACAGAAATACGATGTAAACCAGTGTTGGAGCTTATTTAATCTATTCACAGAGGTACTGTGGTGGCATTTAATGTTGTATTTCTGTGTTTCAGATGTGTGTCAGCAGGATGGAGGAGGTGGCACAGTGTGCGTGATTATGGCGGCCACATTGTTGCGGTGCCTAAGGGGTCTTCGCGCCAAACTGCTGCAGCGTTACAAGCACCAATCCTTTGTGTCGTGTCTGTCTGGTTTGTACAGCTGCCAGTGGAGACGCAGCGAGAGGAGCAGTGCTCAGCCTGGAGACTGTTGCTGCAATAAGGTCAGACAACCACCAACATACAGCAGTATCATTTCAATCCCAAATCAACTGTTTCTGACCCTCCTGAGTAATGGACTAATGGTATAGCATAACATATGAATAATTATTGATATATTTGGGAACTTTTGGCTTGATGTATCAAATACTGTCAAAATATATGTTTTTTTTTTCAATGCTCATCAATCTACTTTTATCACTTTTTAATGTGCTTTAAACTTTACAATATTTCAGGAACTATTGAAGATAAAAGCCTGAAGCTTTCACTATTGTTTCTCAACATGCCATTGATGCAGAATCTGCAATATTATCCAAGTAGATCAAATTGTCTCTATTTATGAATGAGTTGATTTATGAAAAAAATGGAAGCCATCTTTAAAAAAAGTCCCTAATATACAGTTTCAGTGTAACTATTTGCTGAGCTAGTCAGTGATCAGTTTTAATACTGAGCAGATAAATGTGCAATTCTACAATTCTACAATTTCATTTAGCAGAAGCTTTTATCCAAAGCGACGTACATCTGAGAGCAGATACAACACAAGCAAGGATCTAGTCAGGAGAAAACAATCTAGATAAGTGCCATAGAACAAATTCAAGGATTTTCTTTTCTTTTCTTTTCTTTCTTTTTTTTTTTTTTAATTTAAATTAAATTTCTTTTGATACAGTGTCTCAATAAAAACACAGAGGAAGTTAAAATGCTAAGTAAGATTCAAGATTCAGATTCAAGGCCTTTATTGGTCACAAACACAGTTATACATGGTATAACGTGCAGTGAAATGGGTTGTGCATCTGTTCCACACCGAAACAATAATAATAAGATGAATAAGAATAAAGAGTAAAACATAGAGAGAAAGAGAGAGAGAGAGAGAGAGAGAGAGAGAAAGATAGAAATAAGCAAAAATAAATAAATAAAATTGTAATTAAAGTTAATGTTTGAATTTTATTCTGTCTTTAAGACCGATCAGAATAACTGCTTTTACAAAACACACAGCACAAGTCTAACACACCACGTAACTGGCAACATGAGTTTGATTGTTCAAACCAACCAGACGCAACCAATGAATGAGTCCTTGTTGGAGAATTTAAATTAATAATGCAGGTTGGAAGAAAACAAACAAATCAATAAAATGATAGAAAATAAGAGTAAAGGGTGTAATCGTACCACCTCAGTTTGTTGTATTGAATTTATTTTCCATAGTTATTGAAGTTCAGCATTTGCATCAGTTTCAGGCAACAGTTCAATACTTTAAAAGCTCACGTCAGTTTGTCTTTGAGCTGATAGCGAGAGCAGAGCTTGTGGTTCTGACGTTGCGTCAGTTTTTACAGTCACTGAACAGTTTTCCCGTTAAGCTCGTCTTTCTCCACAAAGGTCAATGATCAGTCGTCCTCCTCTGCAGAAACAGGGCAATAAATGGAAAGGAAAATGAACGCAATGTGCAAAAGGTCAAAGCAACAAGAAAACGTTTGTTTCATTGTTTTGTCTCCGCAGTTGGAAGGCGCCAGCTTTGCTCTGCTCGTAGTGGCTTTTTGCTTAACGCTGGTGTTTGTCTACTTCTGGGGACAAGCAAAGAACGACTACAATGACTTTGACTGGTGGGTTCAGAAACACTTGCGCTGATGGTACCATCATAGGTGGATGTTCAAACTGGATTATGTTTCTGCAGGTTGCCAGGTCAGAAATAAGCAGCTGTTAATGCTCTCTCTGCAGTTTCCCTTTGCTTCCTAAATGGCAGTGGTCATATGATGGTATTGATGATTCATGAAATGAAATAGTGATATCTTAGTCATGATGTCATGAATAGTCTAGCTCCAGTAACTATCTGGTTGACACTGCAGCACTGGAGCAACAAACAGTACAGATCTGGTTACAGACTATAATTTATTTGCCAAAAAAGTAAACAAACAATCACAATAAACACACTTAAATACACTGCTCAAAAAAAAATAAAGGGAACACCTAAACAGCACCATGGAACTCCAAGTCAGTCACACTTCTGCGAAATCAACCTGTCCAGTTAGGAGGCAACACTTCTTGTGAATCAATTTCACCCGCTATTGTGCAAATGGAACAGACAACAGGTGGAAATGAGAGGAAATTAACACAACCCCTACAAAGGAGTGGTTCTATAGGTGGTGACCCAAGACTTGGGCTGTGTCCGAAATCACTCCCTATGCCCTACATAGTGCACTATATAGGGTGCACGCCATTTTGTAGTGTTGTTCGAATTCTCAGCGGTAAATTTCATCCACTATATAGTGCACTCAAAATATCCACCAAATACACCGTAAAAAGTAGTGTACAGCCGATGGTCACTAACCGAGCAATATGGACCGTCATGCATTGCGCGAAAAGAAAAGGAAATGGAGATGAACGACAGCGCGGAAAAATTCCTGTTTGTTTTGTTAAATTTTATTGTACCCGGACAGTGAACGTTGCTAAAATTGCGGCGCTCGATTGTGATTTGGACGTACACCACTTTATTTAAATTGCTTTTAGTTACTGGATCCTGAAGAAACGCTCTCTCATCTGGTATGTACAGCAAAATGACAATAAACTTGATTTAATTTGATTT